CAGTGGTTCTCAACCGGTGTGCCGCGGCACACTAGTGTGCCGCGAGATTGTCTAGGTGTGCCGCGGGAAGGTTAGGTTATTAAAAACAGTGTTTTATTTCGTGACATTTATTTTTAAAAATTATTTAATAAATATTTAAAGAACTAAATTATTTAAAGTAAACAAAGGAATATTTATATCATAAAGTGAATACATTTTAAATTACTAGTGAGAAACTTGAGCTTGTCGTTTCGTACACAAAAGTTCAATACGTGGTCGAATTGAAGACAAGCAGACACGCATTTCCTGATCAACGGAAAGAAGTCTCTCCCGTTTTTTGTTTTTTATGTTTGTAAGTGCCGAAAAGCCTAACTCGCACAAGTAGGTGGTTGAAAAGTGTAACAAAATGTTGATTGCTTCAACTGCTATTACTGGATATTCTGTCTTTGCATACATCCAAAATCTAATTAGTGGTGATTCATTATATTTCAGTCGTAGTGTTCTATCCTCCTGAATTTCTGCCAGCTGTTCTTCTTTCTCAAGAGATAGGTCAGCTGTTGATTCTGACGAAGTAGCGTAAGGATTGCGCACCCAATCATACTTTTCAACTGAGATATGGGGAAAATACTGTGCCATGCTGTCCTCAAGATCTGTAAGGTGATTTAAAACTAGTTGAGTGGTTATGTCCCCCTGAGGATCTATATCAAAAGTTAAAGGAAACATCTTTAAACTTTTATTTTCTACATGCCGTTTCCAAACTTGTAGTTTCTTTAAGAACCCTTTCAATTTATCACTTGAGGTCAGGACATTTTCTTCTTTTCCTTGCATACTTTCATTTAAGCAGTTTAAATGATAAAATATATCAGCCAAGTAAGCTACTTTGGCACACCACTCTGTGTCGTTCAAATACGCAGCAAAGTCTGGTTTTTCAATGCTAAAGAGTTTTGACAGCTCGTTTTTAAGCTCATAAAATTTCTGCAGGACTTTACCTTTCGACAACCAGCGTATCTCTGTATGAAGAACCAGAGTATCATGTTTAGATCCCGCTTCACGACACATTTCTTTGAGAAGTCTTGTCTTAAGAGCCCTCGATTTAACGAAATTACCATGTTTACAACTAGGTTCAAAACACTTTTCAATTCTGCAGGAATAGTTTTCACCATTAGGGCCTCGCGGTGTATAAAGCAATGTGTTGAGCCCACATTCGGAAAATTTTGTTTAACTTTAGCAACAAATCCTTTGAATTTTCCTGTCATAGCAGGTGCACCGTCAGTACAAACAGTAAGACAGTTTTTCCAAGATAGCCCATTGTCTGTTAAAGTATTGGACATTGAATCATACACGTCTGCTCCAGTTGACGTTGTGGGTAGTTCAGAACATGCCAGAAATTGTTCGATAACTGAGTCGTCATCAATGAATCTGATATAGCTTAGTAATTGACATTTCTTACTTATATCAGTTGACTCATCGAGCTGCAGTGCAAATAATCTACTGTCACTTAACTTTTCACGTACATGGCATTGGATGTCTGAAGACATGTCACCAATACGCCTTGATACTGTATCGTTTGACAATGGAACCAAAGATATTTCCTTCTCTGCATTGTCACCCAGCATAGATTTAACTATTTCTTTGCAGGCCGGTAAAATGACGTCTTCTGCGATAGTGTGAGGCTGCATTCGTTTGGCTACTATTTCAGACACTTTATAACTGGCCAATAGTGCTTTCTCACTAATAGTAGCTCTACGTACCATGGTTTTTGCTTGTTTTTCTTCCGATGACAACAGTAGACTGAAGTAATTTTTATCTTTTCCAAGTAAATGGCTATGTTTACTACTTAAATGCCTTTTCAATTTACTAGGGACCATGGATTCGTTGCTGAGTTTTTCTCCACACACGATACATTGTGGTACAGGACGGTTTTCAGGACCATTAAATGTAAAACCAAAGCTCAAATAGTTATCAAGGTACTTACGGACTAAAATAGGAGTAGGTTGTTTATTTTCCTGCACCACTTTACTTACAACACTTGTACTTGCAACAGGATCATCCTCCTTTTCGATGCTAGTATTCAATGGTACACCATCTTCAAGTTTTCTTTTTTTTACTATAAATTTATCCATATTACAATAAAAACTACGCACTAAAAATTTTTTTAAACTTTAATTTACGAGCACGTTTACGTCGTCTACGGCCTAACTGTACGATTCGACTGAACAGTTTTATCTGTACAGATAAAATCATACGTGTGTAGATTAATACGACGTAGTTTTTAGAACTGTACAGTTTTTCGGAAATAAATTGACCAATTGTGTGCTAATTGTGCTGATAAGACGATACCGGATACTTGTATAAGCGCGTGGCGATAACTAATGCCTTCGGCGAAGTTGTCGAAGTTGTTGTGGTTGTCAAGTGCACGAGTGTGCCGTGAAAACTTGTGATGTATAATAGTGTGCCGTGAACTAAAAAAGGTTGAGAACCACTGTTCTAAAGGATAAATTATTTAATGTAAACTATAATTGGATTCAGTCCTTAAAATTAAAAATATGCGTTATATACCTATACATAAATGGTATATTAATATCTTGTAAAATAAAAATAAATATTTTAATATTTGATTATTATTAGTTAACCAACTACTTATTTTATATTTCTTAGATTTATAAAATAAAAAATTAAATAAAATTTAACAAAGGTAAAATATTTTCACTTAAATACACATAATTTATAAACCTACGTATGTTTCATTATATTTATATTATTTCTAAAATGAATATACTGTTTCAGGTGGCCGTAAGAATAAAACCATTACCCGCAAACGAAACAGACAGAAACTTATACGTGGTAGATTCCAAGGTATGTTATTTTATCATGTATTTAATGAAAATTACATCAACATTTCCCGATTAGATAACACTACGGTGATGATAAAGGTTTGAATTTCGTAATTTAAAAATATATAAATAAAAATAAAATCACCATATAATTTTTAATTACTTTTAGAAATCAACATTTTTTTAATTTTTTTACATATGCAGGTATGCAATTTTAACCATGCTTTTTTCTTTATTTTTCGCTCGTTATGCCATAATACAATATACGATTAAACGAATGGTTAATATTAAAAAATAAAGATTTTAAACTTAAGAAAATTTAAAAAATAATAATAATAAATAAAAATTAAAAAAATTATATATTGTTGGTAAACTATTTACCTAAAACAAAATCATTTTCTACTTAATGTGATCTATAAACTGAAAGGGACTAAAGAGTTAGTTTATCATCTAATTCAAAGCAATTACAAAATATTCGATTTAATAATTTTTAGATCTATTGATTGTTGATCTGCATAAACTATATGATAGAACCAATACTTATATTTATATGACTGTATTTCAACAAGGATTTTTCGCGTAACGTAAATAAAAATTGACAATTAAACATAATTATATAGAACGAAAACTTTTTAGAGATTGATGAAATGTGACTTTTTAATACAGATGGTTCTAACATATCTTCTAAATGATGATTAACTTAGCATATTATGCTAATGATATGCCCAACAAAAAAAGAACATTTAATGCATTGTTAAAACAAAAATATTTAGTTATTATTTCGTGATTTTGATCGTTTTTTCAGAATGTTTAATTCAAACGTTAGTCAATTTTTTTTTTAAATTAAGTTTAAATATTTTTTTTTTTTTTTAACGAAAATGTATTAAACGATATTAGTTATAAAGTTAAAGACATTTCATAGTTTCGAAATATTTTAATTTTTAACTTTATTCTGTTTTTAGGCACTTGCGGAATTTTTGATTTCCCCAAATTCTTTTGATGCGAAAGATAATACATAAAAAATTAGGTTATTTTGCTATATCAATCATCTTTAAAATTATAAACTGATCCACAGATAAACAGATTTTGTTCAAAATCGTTTTTCGAGATCAATAATACATTAGTTTTAAGTTTAAAAGGCTAATACCATTAGGCAATACCATTCAACCAACCCTAAATTTCACTCCTCCTAGGAGTTTCGATCTTTTTATATTTATATTTAATATTAATATATTTTTATTCATTTACTCGTACCTATATATATATATTTTATCTTTGAGTCTTGAATATTTTATACAAACATAAATATAATATAATATTTTTTACATTTTAGTTTTATACCGATAATAAGATGTGGCACAAAAACAATAAAACTCGAATATTTTTAATATTATTGTATTTCTATCAAGGGAATAATAATTTCAACGCCAATGAGATTCAAGTAAAATTTACGCCTGATGTTTTTTTTTTTTTGTAATCGGACGAGAACTAGTGTATTCAACGTGGTATGGTCGTGGGCGAAAATTATGTGTTTTGTAATATAATCCATTTAACAGGAATTTTATTTAAATTATAACTACGGGTCATTCACCTAACATTGATTGCTTTATATATAAAATATAAATAAAAAATAGCTTATAAATAATACTTAAATTACTACCTCTAATAAGAGCTTATTGATTTTAACCATATATTCTGTACTTCTGATGATTATCTGAGGTTTCGATGATGGTAAAACAAATATCTCGTTTCACTCAGTAACTAAAATATTATAATTCTATAATTATACTGACTATAGGATATCATAGTATAAATTCGTCATTTATTTTATGAGGACATAACTGAGGACATAACCGTGGATTGTAAAAATAACTTGGATCCTTTTTATGGTTTTTATGATATATACTAAGTTAGTTATTAAATAATTTTTTTTAAGCTTTTTTGTAGGTAATATTATTATTTTTAAACTGTAGAAAATATTATTTTTTTTCTGATTAAATATTTTGGTTATATATTAAGATTCAAGTTCATACAATTTTTTGGAATAATCTCTTATTTATAATAATAGCGAGTTTAAATTATTATTTTATAATACATATTAATAATACATAAAATTAATCAATATTTTTTGAATTATAATTTTTAAATGCTTAGTTTTAACATTGATAGGTTATAGATTTAATACATTCATTGTCTGATCAGATAAATTAAATTACATTTCAGAAATATTTTTGTAAATATTACATAAGTAGGCATAATGCGAATTTATTTAAACATTAATTTGTAAGAGGTATTATACATTTTATAATATTTCAATACTTAATTACATCATAAAAAGTAATTAAATTTATAATAATAGTATAAATAGTATAAAACATCTTTTAAATTATTAACTATAAAGCTATTAAGTTCTATAAGGCTTTTACTAAATTATATTTTATATTATTTAATATTCGTACTACATTAAGTGTTACTCTTTAAACAAGCATAATGATTTATATCTTATAAAATCTTGGTTTCTAACAAATATTATTTTAAAGCCGGATGTCACATTTATTTTATTAATTGAGGAACATAATACATTTGTAATATTAATCTGGATAAGATAATTAAACTTACAGATTTACCGTTATTATCTGCTCACGGATATAGAATCTTGTATTATAATACACACAATTGTTGCGTATAAGCCATATCGATTGTTGTAGTCAGTATATATAGTAAATTATAATTAATAGGTACCTTAGGAAACAAGAGTAGACCTGATACAAAAGAAATTAATAAAACTAATTATTTTTAAATGTAGAAATATTGTTTTACATCTAACTACACCACAACTTGATACAGCATCTTTGAATAAAATGTATTAAGAACTCTTGTTTAAATAAAATAGTAATAATAAGTCATTTAAAAATATAATTAATAAATATTTTGTTTTTCGTAACTGGTTATTATGCCGATAAAATACTCTCTCAAATGAGTTTTTTCAACTATGTAAATAATCAATAGTCATTAATTGCAAACATATTCAAAGTACTTGTTTGTTTATGATGTATGTCTGAAATTGCTGGAAGTTGCTTTTTTTTTTTACCTTTGACCGCCTTTCCCTGTAATTATGGTCATAATTGGTGTCTGCTGTCAGTTTATAATAATTTCAATATTAATTTGCAGTTTCAAGGCCTAACAATACAGGTTAAATATTTATTTAGTTTTTTGTGAATTTCAATACAAATTTCAACAATTTATTTCAATCTAATTTCTAAATACATTCTTATGGTCACTCAGAATCTGACGAAAAAAATGTTTTATTTTATTTTATATATATTCTTTGTATTCATTCATGCAATTTTTAATAACAGATTTGAATTATTAATAAAAATCAATTTTTTATTTAAAATACATAAATAATTCGTTTTTGAATCAAATATCAGTAATATTCGTATTGCACCGAAAATGCATAGAAAAAATAAATATGCACCGAGTTTAAATATAAATGTTGAAAATTTTCAAAATATGATTTAATTAATAATATCATCTATGAATGATTTTTAAATAACACAGTTTTAAGTACCATTTAACTGATAGAACATAAGTTTTACATAAATATACTTTTACATTTTTAATATTTTTATTATAAATAATAATTACGCAGGTTTTACCATTAGTTGACTTCCTTAATATTATTTTTATGAAAGCTTTATATATAAATATTACCATAGATACTCAGAGAATCGATCACTCTGTTAAAATTTGGTTATTTTATTTAATAGAAACAACGTTTTCATACTTTGTGAAGTACGAAAATATTTCACTAAATGGTAGTGTTTTCATGAAACGATCATTCCAATTGTGACATTGTGGCTATTCCGCAAATTTCATATATATAATATGTACGATTCTGCATGATTTCAAATGCAACGTTGCCGTAACATTCGTTTATAAATGTTTGTTAAAACATATAGACAATACAGATGTATTTACGTTTTGATTCATATAAGTACTAGTAATTTATTTTTGGAGGTAATAATAATTTAAAAAAAATAAAACAAAAATGTTTATTTAATTATTTTATTGCATGTGAAACATATTGAAATGTTATGTTGTTATTATTGTTTATTGAAATAACATATTTTAACCATAGAAATAAAAAAAAAAAAACCGACCAGAAACTGATCAATATCACAATACAAATAATAATTAAAAAATATAAAACAAAATCAATATTAATATCAAATTAAATAATAATGGTAGTGTTATGTACAACGAGAATCTCGTATAAAGATCCGTTAAATCAAGTTCGCGTAAACTAATAGCACGAGTAGATCAAAACATATGACTACACAATTCAAAATAATGGAAAACATGAGTTCAGGTTTTAACGATCATGTAACGCTGCATTTGAAATCATGC